TATTTGATTTTTTTAAAAAAAGATTCATTCTGAATTGTTTTATTTGATGTTTTAATGTAGGTTGTAAACTGCTTTGAGGTTTTTTTCTTAAAACTATAAAGCAGTATAGAAATGAACTTAATAATTCTAAGGCTAATAATTTCCCTATGTGGTGAGGCATCTAGCTGGCCATCCAGGAAGTGGGAGCGGCACTTGGAGACACTCTGGACCACATTGCACCAAAACCTTGCCTCACTGTTTTCTCTGTGTCCTGACCTGCCCTCCCCAAAGTACAGGGTAGATGGCCACACGGTCTTCCTTTTATAAATGCATGTGTGCTTTAATTCAGTTCACAGCTGCTTCCCTTCCTCTACAGAATCGTTCGTTGTACCTTAATCAGGCCATAGAACTATATAATACAGATATGGCAAATATTAAACATATGTGTTTGACCAAGCTCATATCTTATTTTTGTGATTGAGGAGGAACATGACTGAAGGCGGCAGTTATATGCATACTTACTTGGGAATAAACCTCATTTACTGTATATAGTGGAGATTTACTTCTTATGCATGTTTACTTTCAGGCTGTATGATGTTAATCAGGCTGGTTTTTAATTTTGTGAAGCCAAGAAACTCCAAAAACCCTGTCCATGTTCCAATTTTCAGCAAGTGAAGCAATGAAATTATGTAGGATATTATGAAAACTGAGCAAATTTGATGTGCTTAAGTATGAATTGGGCCTAATGCCTATGGTCATCTTCTTAAGTGGCATCTGTATAATGTTGATTTATATCCTGTTAATTAATTTATTGCCACAATAATATAATGGTAATTTGAAGAGTTATATAAATTGGGGTATGCAAAAGATATATGTAGACGAGAATGTGAAGGAACCATTATGCTGCATGTCAGAGTTATATATGGTGCTATCCACTGATAACAAAATGATGACTGAGAAGCTCTGCAAAAATGTTTTTGCGACTGCAATTCATGCAGAATTAAACCAGTTCATTTAAAACAGCAATAGCCAATTGCCACTATGCTCCAATTAGGTGGGATATCCTAAAGGGTGTTTCCTTCAGGCCTATAATAAGCCCAATTAAAATAACCATTGTATTAAATTTTGAAGATTTCACATCAGTTAAATATTTGAAAATATGTGGGCATAGAAACCTGGCATATGCATATACTTCTCACGTGTTTTCCATTAACTAGACTATAGCTATGGCATGTAGATTAATCTCATGTAATAAAGCACATTTCTTCAGTTTTTCTGAAAAGATTAATAATTTGAAAATTTGAGTACGGTCAAGGTAAACAAGGTGGTCAACAAAAAAGAGAAGGGTTGTATTTTTTATAGGTGGGAAAAATGAATTTGTGTGTGCTGTACAGCAAAGAACAGAAAATTCTGTTAATTGTAGCAAATTAATTAAACTTTCAGCAAGTTAATTAAAACTCAGACTAAGAGCCATATTTTGTGAAATAAAAGTATTTTAATGTGATGTACAGCTGCCTGTCTTTCTGTTTTGAATACAAATTAAGTCTGTTAGTTAAAAATGTTGGAAGATGGAAGGGTATTTTGAATGCCCTACAAGGAAGACGACTTGGTGTTATCATTTTAGAGGAAACCAAGGAAATGCTATTTTAAGTGTAGAAGCCAAGAATTATGGAGCTGGTGACAGAACCTGGAATCTCAACCAGAGATGTGGGAATGAATCTCAACTACCCATGACAAATGGTGTAGAGAGATCCCTTATTTCTGTTTGTGTTTAGGATTTTATTCTAGAAATAATTTGGTTTCATTTATTTACTAATTACTAAGAGCAATTTTGAAGCCATTTTGTTCAGGAATAATATTTAGGGAATGTAATTTTAGCTGGAATAAAACAGAAGCTTTCATCGTCAAACTGGCATCCAGTGCAGCAGAGATGATGGTATTTTGCTTATTCTCAGCATTCGGAAGCAGACCTAGAAAATGTGCTTTGCATCATTTTTCCACGTGGTCTGCAATACGGCACAATAATCTGATTTTCCCCTCCCACAGATCTGGAATATTCTGCAATAAATAATTTTGCTGGCAATCTGATGATGAATGGGGAGGCACCAGGGTGGGGAGAAGAATACTGTGAAGAGCTGGGAAAAGACCCCAGAGTTTTATAATCCCGAAATTTCCAAATTGCAACAAATTCTATTTCACAAATCAAGTCTGCTTTTGTAAGTTTTTTTTGGTTTTTTTTGCAGAGGGGGCAGAGCTGCACATATGAAGTAGGTAGTATGAAAGGAGTTTTCAAATTAAAATTTATTAGGATTACACATTTAAGAGTTGGGTGGGCTGGCCTGCATTTGCGTTTGGGGGTGGGGGTCTTAAAAAGGAGCTCTTTAGTATGATAAGGAAGAGTTGTTCTTTTACCTTCTCATCAGTATGATGCAGGCAGCTGCATCCCTTCTTTCTTTGATTGACAGGTCCTGCAGGTCAGTGTGGCTTTTTGGTTTCCTAGGTTGTCTCCTCTGGGGCTCTGGAACAATGCTGAGAATCCATGTGGGGCTGCCCCACCTCCTTTCCTTTGTTCTCCTTCCTCTTATGCAGCCCACTATCTTCCTTTCATCTTAATTGTGTGTGTGTGTGTGTGTGTGTGTGTGTGTGTAGCTTCGCTATGCAAAGTTTGTCAACATCTGTGCTATTCATATGGTACCCTCTTTTTTTATTCAGATACACTAGGGTATCTCTAAAGAGGGTCAGAACCCATGTCACATACCGGTAAGTATAGTTGAAATATTTTACCTATGCTAAATATACAGTATAGATGAAAATACAAAAAGAACAACTTTCTATTTTCTTTTCCTGTTTTACAGGGAAGCTTTTAAAACCTCCACTGAAATACAGGGAAATGTTGGCTGGCTATTCTAAAGAGCCAGCTTAAAGACTAACTAATTTATTATGGTTACAGATAGGTAGCCGTGTTGGTCTGCCATAGTCAAAACAAAAAAAATTCCTTCCAGTAGCACCTTAAAGACCAACTAAGTTACGGTAGTTCTTGGTATGAGCTTTCGTGTGCATGCACACTTCTTCAGATACACAGATGCATACACACACACACACACACACGCACACGGTTTTGCAGGGTGAAATTGTAAGCAGTGAGGTAAGAGGGAAATGAGATGCTGCAAAGTACAGACAATGATAATTATGGGTTAGGTCCAGTTATGTCTGCCCACTTGCACAAAAGGAATAATGTACTGCTAGTACAACAGAACTACTGGCTTCTCCCCTCAAGAGCCTGGACCCTCCAAATCTGTCCAGAGGGCTCCTATTCCTCTGGAACAGATTTGGGGGGATGGAAGGAGTATGGAGAAGCCCCATTGTACTAGCAGATGCCACCTTACCCTACACTGGATTAACCATGGTTGTCGATAGCACATACCTCATGGCATTGGTAAGCCAATTAACACATATGAACACTCACGAGCCTTTATCTCAGTTCAGTCCACAAGTGATAGCATTGAACTACTTGGAGTATTTTATTTCAGTGTTTTCATATTGTAGTCTCTTAGGAACAATCAATCTGATGTTGAGCGAAACTCCTGAGCAGTTCTCATAGAAAAAAGGCAGTTATTAAGACACCCTGGAAACAAAGAATGTTTGCAGCCCTTTTGAAAGACCAATATTCTGAATTAGTTCAGAAAGCAAACTGGCTATTTGGCCTATTGAAGATATTTGGTAGCGAGCCAACATGACAGTGATAAGGAATTGAGGATGGGAGAGATGATTCTGTGATATGGCAGTGGACAAAGCTGTATTGTAATTTTTGAATAAACATGTACGGTATATACCATATTTTTCGCCCTATAAGGCGCACCTCATTTTTTTTGGGGAAAATGAATTTTAAAAAATTATTACCCCCCCCAGCCGCGGGGCTGGGGCGGGGGAAGCCCAAGCTTCCCCCGACCCCAGCCCCCAGAACAGGCTGCCGCCCCAAGCCTCGCACGCCTGGCGGGACCTCCCGCCGGGCGCGCAAGGCTTGCGGATAGCTTCCTGAAGCGTGGAGAGCGAAAGGGGTCAGTGCGCACCGACGCCTTTCGCTCTCCAGGCTTCAGCGAAAGCCTGCATTCGCCCCATAGGACGCACACACATTTCCCCTTCATTTTTGGAGGGGAAAAAGTGCGTCCTAAAGGGCGAAAAATACGGTAAATAAGTAACTATGAAAAAGGAAGCAAATTGGCAAGCAGTGCTAATGGGGACTTTTCCTGAGATGTCATGCTAGCAGTGGTGGCAGTGATGGGATCTTGGAATCTGGTGTCCTCTCCTAGAATATAAGCACTTGCCATTTAGTTGTTCATTTATTCTCTGTCCTTCTTTGCTTCTGAACAGCACAGGCCCCCCCTCCCCCATTGCAGCTTTGGAACTCCTCAGCCTGACTGAGACATCTCCCCCCTCCCTGGCTCGCTGCTGGAGCTTTCAGCCCAATATGCTGCCTGCTAAGGTTTCATGTGCATTTTGCACAGGATTCCATCAGCTAAGTTTTACTCAGAGTAGGCCTATTGAAATTAACGGACCTAATTTAGCCACGCTCATTAATTTCAATCGTTCAACTCCAAGTAGTACTTTGTTGAATACCACCACATGGCCTGTGCTCTGGATGGAGGACACAGGTGCTGCGTCAAGCAGAATTATTTGGGAAGCAGCGAGAGAGATGGGAAAATAACAGAGGTCCTTGGAGAGGCAATGCTTTGGAAATCTCCTAGCTGCTGCTTTCAGCTTCTGGGGAGTCAGGAGGCTGCTTTGAAACCAGGATTCCATTTGTACTCCTTTGTTAAAAAAACACCACAGTAATAAACAGAGATGCTTATTTCTAAATTCCATTTTTTAAATTAAAGATTATGACAACATTGCCATTACAAGCTGTTCCTTCACATTTTATTAGCTCTTTATCAATAGTTTGTTAATTCGGAATTCAGTCATCAATTACTATTATTTTGGAAAATAAAAACATTATAGAAAAAAATGACATTTTACTAGAGTTCAGCACTTGAGTATGAAATTTTATTTACCTAAATGTTCCAAAGCCTCTATTCTTGTTACTGTGAATTATTTGTGCTATTTATATTGTATTAACAGTTCACTAAAATCTGCACAAACAAAACTGCATCAAAAGATTTCCAAAGTACATTTTACAGAAATGGTATACAAATAAAAGCTTCAAGTCATTGTAATAATCTGTGGTTTTATTAATGTAAACCCCTGAAAGCACTTATTTGTTAGAAAATGGGGAAAACCTTTACTGTATTCATAAGCAATTAATTTATCATACGCCAATGAGGACCAAGATATAATGGTGAGATTTGGTGGCTTGGTACAAGATATTCAAAGCAAGATTCCCTCAGGTTCTAACAGTAGATAATTTTGTAGTGGTTTGGGAACAGGCAGTAAGGGGATGAGAAAATGGCACCTACTGCCAAATTTTCTCCTGATGGCACAGCGGCACAAATGTTGCAGACACCGGACCTTGTACATCTGATTCTGGAAGGACTCATAGAAAGATAGATGCCTCTGAAAGAGAAAGAACAGTTTGCAAGGTGTGACTACCTGGAATTTATTTATTTATTTATGGCGCTGAGGGTTAAACCACAGGGCCTAGTGAGCTCCCATTGCTCGGTCCCTGCTCCTGCCAACCTAGCAGTTCGAAAGCACGTCAAAGTGCAAGTAGATAAATAGGTACCACTCTGGCGGGAAGGTAAACGGCGCTTCTGTGCGCTGCTCTGGTTTGCCAGAAGCAGCGTAGTCATGCTGGCCACATGACCCAGAAGCTGTATGCCGGCTCCCTCGGCCAGTAAAGCGAGATGAGCACCGCAACCCCAGAGTCGTCCGCGACTGGACCTAATGGTCAGGGGTCCCTTTACCTTTACCTTTATACTGCTCTGCATCCAAAGATCACAGGGTGGTTCACAGCATAAAAATTCTAAATGAGAAGGCAAAATTCATAATAAAACAAAAACAAAGACAAACCAGTAACCCCACTCCCACAAACACATTTAAAAGGCCGTAAAATATTAATCAGCCAAAGGCTTGGTTGAAGATAAACATTTTCTCCTGGTGTCTAAAAGTATATACAGTGGTACCTCAGGTTAAGTACTTAATTCGTTCTGGAAACTGTTCTTAACCTGAAGCACCACTTTAGCTAATGGGCCTCCTGCTGCTGCTGCACTGCTGGAGCACAATTTTTGTTCTCATCCTGAAGCAAAGTTCTTAGCCTGAAGCACTATTTCTGGGTTAGCGGAGTCTGTAACCTGAAGCGTCTGTAACCTGAGGTACCACTGTAATGAAGGCACCAGGCGAACGTCCCTGGGGAGAGCATTCCACAAATGGGGAGCCACCACAGAGAAGACCAATTCTTGTGTTGCCACCCTCCGGATCTCTTGAGGAGGAGGAACATGAAGAAGGGCCTCAGAGTCCAGAACAGATTATATGGGGAGAGGCGGTTCTTGAGGTATTGTGGTCCTGAGCCGTTAAAGGCTTTATCGGTCAAAACCAGCACTTTGAATTGGGCCTGGAAAATAATTGGCAGCCAGTGCAGTTGGGCCAGGATTAAGTGTAAGATGCTCAAACCGTCTTGCTTCTGTGAGCAACCTGGTCATCGAATTCTGCACCAGCTGAAGTTTCTGAAGCATCTTCAGAGGCAGCCCCACATATACTGCATTTCAGTAATCTAACCTAGAGGTTACCAGAGCATAGATGACAGAAGTCGGGGTGTCCCTGTCCAAATAGGGGCACAGCCCAAGCTGATGGGAGCAGTGGCGTAGCGTGGGGGGTGCAGGGGGGGGGCCCGGCCGCACCGGGCGCAACATCGGGGGGTTAGGCAAATCCACGGGTTAGGGGGTGCAAATCCGCGGGTTAGGGGACGCAAATTACTTGCCTTGCCCCAGGTGCTGACAACCCACACTACGCCACTGGATGGGAGGCACTCTGCGCCACCGAGGCCACCTGAGCCTCAAGCGACAGCAAAGGATCAGGAGGACCCCCGTGCTATGTACCTGCTCCTTCAGAGGGAGTGCAGCCCACCGGGAGCAAGCCACCTCCCAGCCTTCCGCTAACAGGGACCCCCCCCCCCATCATATCTGGATTGAGTTTCAGTTTGTTGACTCTCATCCAGTCCATTACTGAGGCAAGAAAAAAAAGATGATTTAACCAGAGTTAGTAATAGTAATATGAGGTATTTGTCAACTGATGATTAGGACCAGCAGCATAATTATCTTGAGAAAGAATGAAAAAAATACAGCAGTCATCGCATTTTTGTGAAAGTGGCAGTGATTTGTATGACTTGGCCATCTACTCACTTTCTCTAGATACAGTTTATTATATGAGTCTCCCCCAACCAGCAGATAAAAACAATCATATTCAAAACGATTAAAAACATAAATCTCAGTGCAACACGTTTAATAAATTATGCAACAAAAACAGCATAATCCTGTGACAGAACAACAACATATTTACCTATACAGTGGATGCTCGGGTTGTGAACGTGATGCGTGCAGGATGCACATTTGCAACCCACAGTGGCGCATATGCGCACACGCAGGGTTGCAATTAGGCGCTTCTGCGTATGCGCAAAGCGTGACCACCAAAACCCATTCCGGTACTTCCGGGTTTCGGCGGGTGCATAACCCGAAAAACGCAACCTGAAGCGGCTGTAACCTGAGGTATGACTGTATTTCAAATGCCTATATTCTGAACAGTTCCCTCTTGAGGGTCTTTGATACTGCACCCCTATGACCCCTATAGGTATATCCTGGGCTTTATAATTTTATTTTCCATTATACATCCTCAGGTTGAACTGGCTAGTCCTTTTGTAATATAAGTGCAGAATCACGGAAGAGGTAACAAAATAAATATCTAATTGGCCATCTAGACCAGTGTTTCCCAACCACTGTTCCGCGGCACACTAGTGTGCCGCGAGATGTTGCCTGGTGTGCCGTGGGGAAAATTCGAAAGATTTTTTTTTTTTGTAAAAGTCAAATTAGGTCCTAATCTATCCCTCGAGCGCCTCTTGTCCGTTATTGTGACGCATGAAGCGTGTTCCTGCCCACTCCCCGCCCTCCCTTGCTTCTCTCTCTCTCTCTGTGGCGCTCGAGGCCCGCGTAGAAAGCTGAGGGGGAGAGATAGATAGAGGTGGGCGGCGGCGACCACGACCAACCGCCACAGTAGTTGTAGCGGTGGCGACGGCGAGCAGGGACTCCTGCTCTCTCTCCGTCGTGTCTCTCTCTCTCTCTCTCCCGGGCCCGTCCGTTGAGTCTCCCGCGCGCCTCGGCTACAAGATGAGCATCGAGATCCCGCCGGGTCTGACTGAGCTGCTGCAGGGCTACACGGTGGAGGTGCTGCGGCACCGGCCGCCGGACCTGCTGGCCTTCGCCGCCGAGTACTTCGCCAAGCCGCGCTCTCCTTCCTGCCTCGCTTTGCTGCCTCCTCCCCCCCACCCCCAAAGCTTGGAGGTTCCCCGGCGCCGACCCGCAGGTTTGACCCCCTTCTCACACCTGTTCGCGCTCCTTGCACGGAATGGGGCGGATGGGGAGGAACGGGGCTCGCCGCTGCCTCCGCTCGCCCTCCCCCCCTCTGTCGGCGGTCCCGCGATTCTTGGCTTTTTGGCGGTTGGCACAGAAGGAAGGCAAGGGGGAGGGGAAAAAATTGAATCTTACACTTTCGTGCGTCCCTCCCGGCGTGACGCTGCGCGCTGATGTCACGGGGCTGTAATGGTGGTGTGCCTCGAGATTTTTTTCATGAAACAAGTGTGCCTTTGCCCCAAAAAGGTTGGGAAACACTGATCTAGACCACTGAGACAAACAATCTGTCTCCACCCAGGGGTACACTTCTCCTGATCCTGAATTTCCATAAAGAGGTGAAGCCTCACCTCGTATTTCATTTCTTGGAATTATTCAACAAGGTTAACCTCTCTCCTGGAAGGAACTTTGCACATTCTCTGAAACCCAAAACTCCACTCAATCATTTAACATGTAACTAGCTAACTTAGATTCAATGGACCACATTCTCTTAGATTGCCCTTTACACAGCAGACCTCGCCAACTGATGCTGAGCAAAATGTTGGACCTCCGGCCCACAACTCCGAGAAGAAGCCAAATAAGGTTTCTCCCGGCAGATCAGGACAAAGATATTACTGCTTTAGTAGCTTCCTTTTTAGCCACAATTTTACCCGACAGGGTTCCCAACCAATTATCCTTTCGGGAAATAGGCAGGGCATAGCAGAATATCCAAATGCACACGACTATAGTGTGACCTTATAACCCTCGATAGCTTCACCTTTGTCTTTTTAATTATTCCAGTTACTTGAAACATTTTACACTGTGATGCCAATAAAGGTATTTGATTGATTGATTGAATAGATGGTTGTCACACACACACACAGCCTATAAATCTTCAGCACAAAGTCCTCTAAAGAAATCTGATGCTGCCAAGGCTGCCCTGAGTCATCCTGTTACTCTGTATTTTGAAGAGAGTGAAACCATACATTGTTTTACTCCCCACTCACTTGCTAAAGCACTGACAGCTCAGGAAAGCTTCCTTTGTAATGCCCTGGAGGAGACCATCCCAAAATAATTAGATAATTAAAGGTTCGGGTGCTATTTACAAAGCACTACTCTCACACAGTGGATTATGAAATTTACCCCCAAACTCCTAATCAATGTTCAGTTTAGAGGAAATTCTCTTGGCCTTGGATGAGATTAGAGCACCTAAAAGGAAAATTTGGGAGGAAATTGGGTCAGGGTAGTGGTTGGAAAGCATTCTCAGATGGGATTGTAGAGTAAAAAGAAAATGTAGGTACCACAAGGTAAAATGCTCTGGCGGCAATGCATGCTTATTCAGACTGGATGTAAATCCCCGTGTTAAGTGTATTTAGGATTACAGCCTTTGAACACGAGAGTGGAATGTTTCAGAAAACCAGAGAGCTCCATAAGCAGATTAAAAATGTGAGTGACAGGAGCCAAGAGGAGACCAGCAACTTTCTCTTCTTCTTCCATACAGGTAAAAGGTAAAGGTAAAGGACCCCTGGACAGTTAAGTCCTCAGGCAGGAAAGATTAATCGAGAGGAGAAGACGACTATGCAATTCCTTTAAGCTGCTTAGAAGGGACCCATTCCTTGGGGGATGACCAGTGATCCTCTTGGGCTAAGGATGCTTCTATCAGGGGCTGGAGGGATCCTAGTAGTGGGTGATTTGATCATTAGGATCAAGGAGAGCTGGGTGTGTGATGGGCCGGCAGACTGCAGGGTGATGTTGCTCATCGTAAGGGACGTGGGTGGTGCTATGGTCTAAACAACTGAACCTCCTGGGCATGCTGATGGGAAGATTGGTAGTTCGAATCCACGTGATGGGGTGAGCTCCCGTTGCTCTGTCCCAGCTCCTGCCAACCTAGCAGTTCAAAAGTGTGCTCTGGCACTTGTTATGGTGTTCTGTGCTCCAGAAGCAGTTTAGTCCTGCTGGCCACATGGCCTGGAAAAGCTGTCTGTGGACAAATGCTGGCTCCCTTGGCCTGAAAGTAGAGATGGGTCAAATTTGAGCGGACTTAACCGTCCAGGGGTCCTTTACCTTCACCCTTTACCTTGCTCATCATCTAGATGGGCTGGTAGATAGTGCTGGGGAGGAGTCAGGGGTGCATGCTGGCACCAGTGGCTTCAGGAGCTGGGAGTTCCTGGAAGTGAACTCTACCTTGCTTGGTAAGATGCTGACAGGCAGGCCCTACAAAGCAGCTGTTTTCTGAGATTTTCTTTACTGTCTTTATTTCTTCAATTGATATCCCACCTTTTTATCCAGGGAGCTCAAGGTGGCATGCATGATGCTCTGCTCTCGTTTCACCCTCACAGCAACCCTGTGAGGTAGGAAAGGCTGCAAGGTAGTGCCTGACCCAAGGTCCCCCAGTGAGCTTCATGGCTGAGTGGGGATTTGAACCCTGACCTCCTGGGGCCAGCACACTAACCACTACACCACACTGGCTCCCGACAGTCCAAATGCCACCTGTTCCACATGTAGGGCTATCTAGACAGGTACAGGTATGTGTCAATGGTGGTGTTGGGAAGAGGGATCTGGATTTGTTAGGTACTGGGGAACATTTTGGGAGAAGCCAGGCCTGTTCAAAAGAGAGAGACTCCTCTTGAACTGGGATGGAACCAGACAGCTGGCACTATGGCTTCCAGGAAGGGCGCAGCCCCTGGCACTGCACTTTAAAAAAAAATCTGGCTTGCTTGTTCTTTCCATAGAGTTCAAAACAAGAGTCTCCAGTTATGGAGTTCTGTCCATAGAGAAGCTAACTTGTTACCAACATTACTATATGTGGGGCACCTGGCATTTTATATATATATATATATTTCCCCCAGACTTCTTAATGTATTATTATTTCAATATGTTGTAATTTATTATATTCCATGTGTATTTTTCTGTTTTGCCATGTTTTTGTAAATTGCCCTGGCAGCACTGCTAAATGGCGGTATATAAACCATGTAAACAGACAAATAAATAACAGTTAACAACATTGCACACATCCTAGACAAAACAGCACAAAAGAATTGGTCTTATTTTGGCAACACAAATAGTTATCACAACTCAATGGAAAACAGCCCATGCTTGGTACTCACTCTGCAATATAAGTATAATGGAGAAAGTTAAACTTAATTTAAGATTTTGACAAGAAATAGAATCTCCAAAATAGAAAGTTTCTTTTATGACATATGTAGCAGAACCACCATTCCTCAACCTCGGCCCTCCAGATGTTTTTGGCCTACAACTCCCATGATCCCTAGCTAGCAGGACCAGTGGTCAGGGATGATGGGATTTGTAGTCTCAAAAACATCTGGAGGGCCGAGTTTGAGGAAGCCTGTTCAAGGCAATGCTCATCACAAGCCTGGAAAATCTGAAACTATGCTTTATAATCTGATAATGTTGATAAGCCTTTGCTTGGGCGTTGTTATTTTAACAACATATGCAACTATAATAATTCTTTGTGCCTATTTTATAGCGTCCCCCCCTTTTCACTTTTGTCTATTGTTATAATTGGTTCTCTCTGTTTTATATACATTATAAAATGAAATAATAATAATAAACTTTATTTTAAAATAAGTTTTATGGCTGTAGTGTGACACATGTTAATCTGATTATGCTTTACTCCATTTGCTAAAGTTGCAAAATCAAACCCGGATTAGATAAACAAATATAAGCAACACAATTTGTATAGCTGTTACCTGAAATTCTTCATTTGGGATGACTTCCAGCCATTTTTCAGAGATGGGAAGATGAGGGTAAGAATTATAAAGGATTTCAATAATCTCTGGCACAGAAGCACAAGATTTCAGCACCTAGTGGAGGAAAAATCATCACGGTAAATACAGAGGGGGGGAAGAGGGAGGGAGGGAGAGGGAAAGGTATGGGTCAAGCACTGTGACTGCTGCAGGTCAATGGTATTTGTACATTGACTCCTAGTATGTGGCCAGTCCTTCATGAGAAGTAGCTGCTGCCATGGTCAAACTAGATTATTTGCAAGCCACTAAAAAGCCCAGTTTATGTCTTCCTTATTCTCAACCTGAAATTTGAGTTAGGGAGAGTTTGGGTGTTTTTTGTATTTTTGTAGAGGGAAATAAGGAAATTGTTATTTTTGCTCAAGATGTGAACTGCACATATTTCAATCAAATAGGGTTGTTTAAACTATTTAAATAGTTCTTACAAAGCAGGGCAAATCTACAGATGCTTCACAGTTCCTACATTACCTCTATAGACTTTAACAAGCTGGGCTGACCTCCTTTGGATCAGAGATTCCCAAATCATTAAAAGAATTATTATGACAGCCCTTGAAGGGGCTGGAGTCATGGCCTTGAAGAGTTAATTCACTCATTTTTAACTTAGAAACACAGGTTAGGGACTGAGAATGTGAGCATCCAGCGCTGTGCCCATTAGGATTAGAAGAGCAAGATGCAAACTCTCAAGACTGACGTGATGCCAATTAGTGAAAATTTGGTAGATTAAACCTACTACTTTTTGGAACCTGTTTGAAATGGTTCAACTTGGTTTCTTTCACCTAGTTTTTATGGTATAAGCAAGTTTCATTTCAAATATATGAAAAACAAGCTAACTCTGATACTCTACTCAAAATGGCGGAATCCTCCTGTGATAACTTTTGAAACCAGGAAAGCACTTTTGATGATAAACACTGATGATTATAACAGTTCTGCATCAAAAACTTCTCCAATTCCCTTTGAATGACCATGCCTGGCAAATCTTGCAAAGGTGGGTCTGGTTGCATAGGTCTTTCCCTGTCAGCATCCTGCATAGAGGAAAGCTGCCTGTTGGCTGGAAAAGGCTCTGATGGCTCGACTGCCGTTTTTACGTTCCCTCCCCAATATTGTGAGAATAACTCCCCAGCTGCTGAGTGTGTGTAAAAGAGCCTGCATCTAGTCAGCAGACCAACGAAGGGTGTAATCCACTGGGTTAACAACCCATCCAATCCTGGAATGGCTGCAGATGGGTCTTCTACAAGCTCTGCTTCCTGGAGGGGAGATGCAGAATTTTGAAGCTGCACCAATAAACACAAAGACAGTTCCTTACCTTGATGAAAGCTGTGGGCCACAGTTTTTGAGAGCCGTGGTTTATCAGGGTCTGTACTGTGAGATGGGGCCTCTGCTCTTGCTTGAAAGCTGCAGTCTGCAGGACACAGGACATTGGATATGCCCCATTGTAATCGATGGCGTTGACATCGGCTTTCCTCTGCAGCAGGAGCTCAACCAAGCTGTGGTGAGCATTCCCGCAGGCTTTATGAAGCGGAGTCTTCACTTCTTCATCCACAGTGTTGACTTCTGCTCCATATTCCAGCAGCAGCTGACATACTTGCAAGTAGCTCTCCTGGCTCTCCCTGTTCTTTGCTTCTCTGCAAGCCACACTGAGTGCGGTCTCCTCCTGGCTGTTCTTCTGGTCCACAAGAGCACCACACCGCAGGTACAGGAGCGTGTGGTCGGGAAGACCATGCTTAGCTGCTACATGAAGAGGTGTTTCTTGGGATTCTTCACTTGGCTGGTTTACCAGGGCACCAAAGGTCACCAAAGCTTTAGCACACCTACAAAACAGGAATTTTATTTTTATTTTTAAAAAAATTATGAGCTGCCATTCAAAAGACATTATTTTCCCATGGTGTCTTACAGCATTAAAAACAATTTAAAGCCATATAAAATACAAACAGAATGTTGACATGCATTTGAATCTCCTTTTGCTTACAGTGGATTTTAGTTATCTTTTCCCTGCTTTAATGTGAATTTTTTAAGGTTCTTTTTTGTAAACTGCTTGGAGGTTTTACTACCATCAAGCAGTATATAAATGTGAAATAAATAATATCAGCAGGGCATGCTGTGCCTGAAAATGTCAAAAAAACACTTCTGCATATTAAGATGTTGCAAAAACAATATATAGACACCTCCCCAGAGTGCTATGTTCATCTTTGATTTGGGGGTGGGGGATCTATGTGTTTAGCCTTCTCTTCAAACAAAGGCAATCCTGAAAGGCAAAGCTCTTTACCCATGTGTTAATTTTAGCCCAAACAACTTGTGACACCAAGAACACAAAGCCACAAAGCAACTCTGTCCCCTGACCCTCCACGTGTGTGATCAAGGAGTCAGAGCAGCTCTGTACTTTCTCATTGTTACCGGATAAATAAATGTCCTGTAACTGCACAGTACATGACCTGAGCGGCTGTGGAACATGTACAGGCGCGAGGAAGGATTGCAAATGAAGTACAAGTTATTTCAACTGAGGGGGAGGGAATCCTCGTAGATTCATAATGGCAGTGAACTGGCAGGCAAAGGCCGGCAGAGTCACACGACCAGCACTGGGACTGACAAGACGCGTTTGCCTCTAGTTTTGAGGAATGTGTTGTTTGAATGGGAAGGGCCCACAGATCAGTGGCAGGGCGCATGTCTTGCACATGGAAGGACCAGGTTCTCCAGTAGGAAAGGCCTCTGTCCAAGGTGGGCCTTTGGCAGTTACATTAGACATGGCTAGGCAAAGTGGACCAGCCGTCTGACTCGGGGTGAGGCAGCTTCATGTGTTCAGGGTGCAAGAGGTTCTTGAGCTGAAATCATTTCAGTGATTCATCCCTGCATTGCTCCAACCGGCATCAAGTGTCCTGGAGTTTCTGGAGTTCCAGAATGTCTGCATAGGGCTTTCATCTTCTAGAAATGCAAATATGGTGTTAAACTGAGTCCTCAACAATGGGAGAGGTGTGTGTGTGTGTGTGTGTGTGTGTGTGTGTGTGCATACACCCCTTTTAAAATTTGGAATCAAATTTTAGTAGTCACTTCTTTTGGCAAATACCCACATGCAGGGAGTTTATTCATTATTTCTTTATGGAATGCTGTGGTGGAATAACTCTTCAATTTATTAACATATCACATCAGGTCATGGGTGTAGCCGGGGGGGGGGAGGGAGAGGCATCAAGAAAAAACAATAAAAATACATAGTTAACTGAGGTTCTGCCCCCAACTAAGAAAACACCTGCCCCCCCAAAAAAAATCCTGGCAACGCCCTGCATCAGGTGCAAAGCTCTAATGCCAATGGCTGATACAATAGTAAATACCTATCCACTCTCTGTTTTGACAAATACGAAGAGAAATGAATGACCTTTGTGGATTAACAAAAAGGGTTAGAGACATGGGCATAGCCAGGATTTATGTGCCTCCCCCAAAAAATTATGGGGGCAGAACCCAGCTATCTGTGACGCAGTTGGTGGGTCAGTTAGTTAAGAATTTTTATTTATTTACAGTCATACCTTGGAAGTCGAACAGAATCTGTTCCTGAAGTCTATTCGAATTCCAAAATGTTCAGAAACCAAAGTACAGCTTCTGATTAGCTGCAGGAAGCTCCTGCAGCCAATCGGAAGCTGTGGAAGTCCCGTCGGACGTTTGGCTTCCAAAAATAGTTCTCAAACCGAAACAGTCACTTCCGGGTTTGCGACGTTCAGGAGCCAAAACATTCGAGAACTAAGCTGTTCGAAAACCAAGGTACGACTGTACTTGATCATGGGGGGCCTCCTCTGCCCCCTGGCTATGACATTTGCAGAGATTTCTTTATGCAGTTCCCATTTGCTTGAAGGATCGGGTTAGCTAGCACATAACTAGCAGCAATCAGCGAGCCACTTTGTGAGAACTATTTCCATTCTTGTGCCATGGTCTCGCACCTCCCTGTTGCCAGTCACATGCTCATGCAGACATCAGACAGACAGACCCTAGTAGATAAAGCCCCCCACCCCAAAGTTTCTCCCATAATTTTCTGCAGGTGAATAAAAAATTAATCAGCGATCCATTCATGTACTTGGAGTTGACAGATAGTATGAGTGCACTATATTTTTGCAACCTGCCCTGGGACCATTTGGTAAAATTTGGTATATTAGTGCAACCAACCAATCAATGCATACATACGTACATACATACATGGAACTTGCCTAAAATCTGTTCTGGGTTTAGGAGTCCTTTTGTAGAAGCTGGGGGCTGGGCTGTTGGATATACAGTGTACATCCATTTTTCTGTAGTATGGGGTCCCCTCCTTTATGAATGCCTCATTCCTAAACATATTTACTTGGAAGGAAGTTCTACTTACCAGTGGAATTTATTTCTGAGCAAGCATGCACAGATCTGAATCACTTCCAAAGCATTAAGGCAGTAGAATGTGACAAAGCTTTGAACAATGATGTGGGACACCTTCTGTCTTCACAATATTATTTTACATTCGCTGCTTAAAATACCTTCTGACAAACAGAAGAGGCTTAGAGAGAAAACAGTCCACAGCAATGTTTTTAGTGCAAGTAAATTAATGTGATAAGCTAGTCTAAATGAATCAAAATGACTGTTGCTTTGCTTTGAGATGTTGACATTGCTACTCATGAAATGGTTGGCACAGTCACACAGCAAGGTCAAATCTTCCAGCAGGTGGAAGAAGAGCTGGCAACAAAGCTCCTCCAAGGACCGCCTTTCCAATCCTCTTACCTAACTCAAAGATTTTGTAAAGGTGAGGAACACTGGCAAAGGGAGGGGCATCATTTACACATAACTGACTAGGGTGTAGTCTTAATGACAGGCATATAAGAGATTGCATGGTACCTTTCAAGATAATCTGATGCAGGAAAATTTGCAAGGTTTTTAATTCCACAAAGATCTTCATTAGGTAAAAAAAAAAAAGATGCTACAATGAAACTGATACTGCAAAAGAAAATGACTATGTGAATATTTGCATTAGTATCTTTTCAGGTAGGCCTTTATTGGTAGCAGCAGATGGCAACAAGAAGATAAACTGCCAAGGAATCAAAGACTGCTATGTTGTTTAGCAAGTTCACACCTCTGTGTAGGCAATTGTTTTAGGAACATGGCATAACCTATTGCTGCTGGTGAAATCAAAGCAACGACTTATGAGGACAGAACTGAATGTAGTTATTGCACTGCAAGTGTCTGGGGCTGGAGTGGAGGAGGCCTGTGCATGCAGACCCTGACTTTTGGGGTCAAAGGGGGATGTTTTTCATCCTTTGTTTCTCTGACAAGAGCTTCCCCTTCACTTCCACTTCATGGGAAATGTTAAATTGCATTTTATAAAGGCTATGGGACTAGACTTTTTCCCAAAGGTGTCTACTTAAAATATTTGCAAGGGTATATATCCTCAGTTCTGGCTGCTGAGGTAAAGGAAAGCGGCGTGTCTGCCTGTTACAGAAGTATATTATTCGAGAAGTGTATGGACACACCACGGTGCCCTTTGGTCCTACCAGACAGCTGACTGTACCTCCTGGCCTCCTCCTTCACTCGCTGGCAGACACTCACTGTCACACAGCAGCCCTAAAGGGTCCAGCCCTGCATTCACCTCTTGAACCCCTTTTCCTGCTGTTCCACGTAATTAACGGAGAGGTGGTGATAAAAAAGAAGCCTAGAGGCGAATGCACCGCCTTGGATGGTGAGCTCCCCGGAGGCTCTGCAGGGTGCCTCCTGAACAGCAAGGGGCGCCTTCCGTTTTATCTTAAGTAACCAACCTTATTAAGCTAAAAATAGCCTTGAAAACAGACGTGGATGGAATGCACTAACACTGCCAGCAGGAGAGAGAGAACCGGGAGCGGAGCAGGTGGGGGAGGACATTGTTTACCGGAAAGTTTGCTCTGCATATGCTATTTCTAGACACTTACAGGTTTGGGATATAAGAGATCTGGCAGACCATCCTGGATTCTTTCCCCTTCAGTACTGTATGCCTAGCATAGTGGAAATATCATCTATACATGTGGGATTTAGGCAGAGTGAATTACTGGTGCTCTATCCCCATAACTCCTGGCTGCCTCCTCAGGTACACACACTCAAGGACTGCAACTGTTGGCTCCTTGTCCCCATGTGTGACAGTCACGTCCAGAACTATTTCCAGAGAGAGACTTGCCAAATGTTCAGAAACTGAGACATGGTCTGAGTGCCCACAAACTATTAAATAAGTCAGGTACAGTAAGAAAGAAGGCTCACATACAAAAATTTAAATAATCCAAAAACTCCCTCACACCAAAGCCTAGATGTCAGAGGAAAGTGTTCTAGCACAGCCTTCTCCCTGATCTGCTAGATTTGTATGCTTCTCTCTCTTCCTCTCTCTAATTTCCCAAACAGAAACTGTGTCTGGCCAACTCTATCACTGATGCTTAAAACATTGCAGTGATGCCAACCCCAATAGCCCCTTCTCCTGTTCAACCCTCCAAGCTCACAACCATGCACCCCCCCCAAAGAAGATGGAGTCCTGTGAATCCTTGCTTGCATCCTGGTGTCACCCAGAAATAGATTTATCACTTCATCTGCTCAGGGGCGGAGGAAGGGGGGTGCAGTGGGTGCAGACCGCCCTGGGTGGCACCACTGAGGGGGGTGACAAAATGCCGGGCGGCACTCACCGCAGGGCCTGCAGAACGCCCAAGCCCCGCGTCTCTCTTGGGAGAGATGCGGTGGCTTGGGCGTGCGCAGGCTCCACGCTGCCTAAATGGTTTGCCTGCTGCCTCCCCCCCCCCCAGCTATAGGGTGGCTGAGTGGGAGTAGGCAGGCAGACTCTGGAGGCCCAACAGTG